TCAGTAATAATGATAATGAAAGTGAGAACAATCTGGTTTTCTTTTTCAAAAATGTTTCTAGAAAAAAAAAAGGAAAGAAGAAAAAACACGAACACAAAATAACCTGTAATAAAGAAATGTTGCTAATACATGTATGTGTTTAGAAACAATAATAAAAAGAAAGAAATAAACAAATCGACAATCTTCTACATATACATTTATAATCTTTTTTCTTTTTTATCGCAAATATTTGTTCAAGTCAATAAAGGCACAATCAGGTATGTTATTTTTGTGCATTAGCTTGTCACATTCATGTAAATAACCAACAAGCACTTCAAGAGCAGGATGTCTTGGCATATCATGTGCTTCTGTAAAGTGCATAGATAACGTTAATATATATATATATATATTTATCTAATATATAAAAAGAATGCTTTGATTTACATACCAAGTATAGCACTGTTAACTGCACTCGAAACAGTTTCACGTTGAGATGGTTCTAATAGATGAGCAAGTGGTGATGATTTTGGATCTGAATAAGCTAATAAACTGAATGCATCCTAATAAAATAAAAAAATTTTTAAATGAAATCTTTTATTAATCATTCGTACACAAGTGAGAAATAAAGTATCTCAATTCATTCTCATTAGATTAAGATAGACTAGATGTTATATGACCTATGGCGCGAAAGTTTTGGTACGAAAGATTTGTTCATATTTCGACCAATAAAAGACTGTTGACTAGAGCTAGAATTAGAATTTCTTGCTATGTCTAAATACGGATTATAGCTATTTTGGTACAGTCATTAGTCTATGTAGTTTGTGTCTTGGAATAGCTTCAATTTCTTATTAATGAATTCTACATAAAATGAGATATTAAAAATAAACGAAATCTTATCTACAAACAGTGGCATCGATGAAAAAAAAATCTCTACTTTAAAAAATGTCTTAAATCTGTCATATAAGATAGAGTAGAAATATAAATAGCAAATTAAAAATTATTTCACTTTCAATCGAAATACAAAGCTAACAGAAATAGTATTTTGTGTAATCATTATTTTGAATCTTTTGAAACAATATGATGATAGTTGGTCGAGTTTTTTAATCTGAGCAGACTGGACAGGTTCCACATATGATCCAATCTTAACCAAGAAGGAAATTTTGAATTCATATTTGGAAAGAGCAACAAAATTTGCTTCTGTCTCTAACCAGCACTCTTTATATGGTTGAAAAATGAATATTTTCTATTAAGACTTTCGTGTTATAGGTTAGAAATAAAGATGAGACATGTTTAATTAATTTATATTTCGAATATTTGTTCTGTGTATGTATTCTATGTCTTTTGTTTTAATAGACTATGAAATAAAAGTTACTTATTATCTTATGACTACAAATTATACGCTTAGTAATCTCCGATGTCAAATGAGACATAAATGATATTTAAAAAAAAATAAGAAAGATTATGTTCGACAATATTCTTTCAATAGAAATAAGATTCTTTTATTATTTCTTTTTTTCTACAAAATTTACTTGAAGCATTTTATCATTCTGTTGATTTTCTCCGTGTTCAGTAGTTAATTGTTGTTTAAGTGCATGTAATTCTCGGCCAAATTGAAGAATTCTAACAAGAAGTTGATCATCTTCTTTTATTGTTGATTTTTTCTGTACATCAGATGACATTGTTGTTTCCATATCCATAGTATGAGTTGAATCAGTATAACCATCATATTCCATACCATCAAGAATATCAGTTGATTTTGTTGGACATCCATTACTATTCATATTATGATCGACGACTAGACTAGTATTATCATCGTCTAATAGTGAATGGCCATTAGAGATTTGATTTGTCGAAGAAGAAGAAAAAGAAGAATGAGGATGAGATACTGTTCCGTGATTGCTAAAACCATTTGCTGTATTATTATCATTTTGATCATCATCAATATCCATAAGATTAACAACAACATTAGTATTTGTATTTGATGGTATAGAATTCACTGTTGTTGTATGACTATTTGATTCTGACAATTGACATGGAATTTGTGATAAATTTGATTCATTATTAGTTTCTATAAAGAAAAAGAGAAATTTAATTTCATAAGAAATAATAAAATAAATTTACCTTGTGATAACTCGTTAGGATTATTTGCACTTGATCGACGAGATGAAGAACTAATTGTACCATTGCTATGTTGTTGTGCCCCTGATACAGTAGTTGTTTGTGCACGTCCTGATGTATATGGACTATTAGATCGAGAACGTAAAGATGTATTTGTTTTAGTTATCGGTGATGATGAACGTTCACTAGTTGTCGAATGAGAATAATTTTTATTAGCTAATGATGATGAACAAGGACTGTTCGAACGATTTTTATTATGAGTAAGATGATTAGTTGGTGATGAACAATTCGTTGTTGTTATGGTTGTAGTTTGTGAAGATGTAGATGATGGACATAATATTGATGTTTTACGTATTTCACTCTCAGTTCCATTAACCATTTCAATAAACTGACGAACTTTAAGTACAAATAAAAGATTTTTATCGTTGAGCAGTGTAGGAAAAAGTTCTTTCGTCTTGTCAATTGCATCGGTTGTGCGACCATCAAGAATCAAATGTTGGATAACTAAAAACATATAATTTAGATAATAAAAATTTTTATCAATTTTTACATGTCAATTGAAGTCTTTAGTCATTATGAAAATATGATTGCTTTACAAACAAACTTATTCCCGAGATTCTATTATTTTATCTATTTTGGGATACATTTCTTCACTTTACTTTTACTTAATCATCCATAAATACAAAAAAGAAAGTAATTCATATATCAATAAGGTATGTAGTCGCGGCCTGTGATGATTCATTACTCAAATATCAATCACATTTGTGAGATGAGGAGCGAATTTTCAACACTCTGTTTAGGTCGTATTTCACACAATTCTTTTCTTTTTTCCGCTGTTATATTTACGTTGTCTATTGCGCATGGAGTTTAATTCGTCAGCATATACACTTTCAGCATTTTTATTAAATTGTTCAGCTGTTGCACAATATCCATAATGAACAAGATAAGTTGAAACAATACGACGTAATTGTGTTTGATGTAATAATTCGCCTTCTTTCAATGTACATTCAATTATTGCTCGGCGAGTTTTTTCACGATACTCCTATTTCATCAGAAATAAAATTATTATTCTTTCTCTTAAAGAACTTTTAGTTTTACTTACATCCATATATTTTTCTATATCAAATTTGAAAGGACTAAGACCGAAATTAGCTTCAATTGCTTCATGAGGTGTTTGTAAACCAACTGTTGGATAAATTTCTGTCTATAATAAAGACAGAAAAAAAAACAAGAGTTTGATAAACATAATAAAAACAAAACGTCAAATACCGGTATGTCTTTGAAAGATGTACCTAGAGCAAAAGATAAACGTAAGAACTGATTTGTTTTTTTTGAAGCAAAATATATTTACCAAGATTGTAACCATTACGAGTATAGAAACAGGAATTTTCAAGAAAATTGACACAACAACCAACATAATCGCCTGTTGTAAATGTTGGTCCATAGACAATACCTGAACCTGATGAACAAAATGAATGACCATCATCACCGTGATAACCATATGAGCCTTTATCCCATCCGGGTAAACGGCTGAGATTCACTTCACTTGTTGATAGACCAATTCCCATGTATCTAATTGTAAAGAAAAAAAATCAACATTTCAAAGTGTTACTATTCAAAAATAAAATCAAATCTTTTCATCTTGACAAAAAAGGTATGAAACGAATCCAAATACTGTTTATTCTTTGATGATCTATGAATATAAATGACTCGAACTAAGCAAAGATTTGACATCTAATGATATTGTCTCTTGGCTTTGCCAGACAGGCTATGTCACATTTGATGCTGCACAAGAAAGGGCAAGATATTATTGACGAATTCATTCTTCATCAAAAAAAATATGAATCAGAAAAAAATTTATATAAAGCCGATGATCAATTAAATTTGACATTTCAATCATTTTCAAAAACGATAAAAATAACAATAGGTCGATTTCGGCTCAAGTATTTTCTTGAATAAATACACTCGTCCTTAGAATATTCAGAATCTGTGTCATAAATCATAACTCTGATGTAAACATAGATCTTTATCTTTCATAAAATAATGACGAATTTGCCAAGATTAAATACATTACAAAAAACGATTGTCAATATGTTTAATTTTTGTTTTCATTAATAAATAAGAAAAAAACATCATAGACAAAAAAGATAAATAAAACTTACCCATCACGGCCTTTGCTTAAAATTTTCACTTCAAAATAATAAATACCAGTCAATGGTGGAATAGGATAATCCGAACGAACACTAGCTGCATCTTTATGTGTTTTGCCAGGTCCTTAAAAATATAATTCAATAATTTTGCTTTCTCTAGATAATACTTCATTATATAATTTACCTTTATATGTTACAAGTAGATCGTTTTGTTGAAGAAATAAAGTTGACGCTTTATCTTTTCCATTCCATTTTGTTGGTAAATGTATATCATCACCAACATGTGGATAAAGTTGTGCAAGACGTTCATTTCCATTTTTAGTATTTGTAGTTCTTGCAATCGTTGTTGTTGTTGTCGTTGTTGTTGATCTTGTTGCCATTCGTGATGATGTTATTGTTTCATTTGTATTATCTGTCATTTTTTGAATTTGTCGTGATAATCGTCTTCGTCGATGATGTTGAAGAAAAAGTTTGATGAATGTAAAAAGAAGATAAATTATATTTGAAAGAATAATCAAACAACATGAAATATATGCGTAATTAATCGAACAACTTTCACCCATTCCATTGTTGAAAATAGTAAGATTGAATGATAGTATTAATAGCTAAATGAACAAATAATATATAAACAATAAATAATAACAACAACACAAATCAGCTGACGATTTGTATATCGCGTCTATGCAGTCACAAAACAAGATGGCGTACGAATCGCTTTGAGAATAGTTTTCTTTTTCCTTTTTTCTGTTATTTATGTTGAATATATTTATAAAAAAAAGTTTTTTTCATCCACGATTTATATCAACAAATAATTTAACATGTACCGTGGCTGCTAATAAACCAATTGAATGGAATTATTTGATAGAATGGCTTAAAAATGGACAAAAACATCCACTTTGGCGTGAGGAACAACAAACTCAACGCTATATTGAACATCAAAAATTAGTTTCGAAAGAATATAGATCAATTAATGATTTTATTCGTATACGTTATCTTAAATGGGATGTAGATTTGAATAAATCTAGTCAAAAACGTATTGCTATTCCAAGTGTAAACTCAATTAAAGAACCACTTTTAACACCAAATGATTTTCCATATTATTTAGCAAATGGCATTCAACATTGGCTTATATGGTGTGATCCAAAACCAAAAGAACCAGAGAAAATAGTTGAAGAAGTTATGAATAAGGAATTTGATTCGAAAAAATTTGACAGACTTTCTTTTGTCAATCCACCACGCTTAAGATCTATCTCTGATGTATTTCATGCACATGTATTTACAAGAGAAATAAAAAAATAATTTCTTCGATATTTAGTTTTTGTAAATTTCTTTAGACCAAAAGATCATAAATTCATAACAATGATATAGTATCAAAATGTCTAAAAATGATAAATTTATCTAAAAAATACTAGTGATCATTTTGATAGAGTTGAACGCATAAATATTTAATCAGATTTTTTTTCAGAGATAAATAAGATAATGTTTTTTATTTCATTTATCAATAAACTTCTATCGCCAACCAATCCTAATAGTAAAGACTCTCAACCATTTGCTATATTCAAACAACATTTACTTAACAAGCTGAAAAACAAAAGATTATGAATGATATGATTCTATACCTCATCGCTGAAAATGGCTTTGCCGAAACGAACATTATCAGAAACCAAGGTCATCAGAAAAAAGATAGCTGAATTCCTTTTTGATGATCCATACCAATGGTCTTCGCTTCAACGACCATTCTTTTCGCTTGCTTTTTCGACATAGATGGTATGGAGAGAAAGTAGCTATTCAACTGTGACATGCGCATCATGAAATTCGACCGAATCCTTTCTGATTTAGTAATATAGGTACTAACTTAACTTAGTTCCTAGTTCAACTTAGCGAGTCATAGGTTATCGAGAAAAGCTTACGATGATCAAATCTAGAATCTTCGAGAATTTTCTGGAACCTTCCAGAACCTTCTAAAAAATCTACTTAAAGTATCAAAAGTCCGAAGTCAGATATTAAGGAGCAAGAGCCGGATACTAAAGAAAGAATACTCGTGCACTTTGAACAAGAAATTGTTATGATGATCTTATTGCTGCGTAAACGATCATGAAGACATACAATTGTATTACTGATTTGTATGAACTGTTAAAATATGGTCGAAAAAGTCTCAATCTGTTGTTCAATGAGTTTATAAAGACTTCGTTCTCTTCGTTTTAGAGATAATTATGTCATAATCTCTATTTAATTTTCATGACATTAAATAGAATCAATCAAATCTGTAGAGATTCTTTCAAAATACCAAAAAAAAAACAAATGTTGTAATCACTCATTTTCATAGATGAAGATGTATTCTTTTAAAAGAAAGACAGTGTAGCAAAAATAAAGGAGAAAATCGTTCAATCTAATTACCCTCTATTGCCAAAAATGTTAATACAGTTTTGCTGTGACAAAGCACAATTCATGAGTCTCTGATCTACTCTATTTTAATATATTTAATTTATGCTATCATCTCTTATTTTAGAGGAACATCAATTAAGTAAAGAATTAGATCGTCTTCTTATTAAACTTTCATCAAAAATTAGTAATAATACACTAATTATTGGCAAAATTGCTATGGATATTCAGGGTCAATGCGACTAAATTTGTTCATCAATCATATTTTGCTATAATTAGCGAAAAAACTCACATAGTTATATTAAATAATATTGTTCTTGTTGATTTAGAACGAATGATAAATAGTCTTGAATGGATAATTCAAACTCAAATATTATCATATGATCAAATATCACATTTTTGTGGACAATTATCATATTCATTAACAACATTTGGACAAATTTTACAATGTCGATTAAAAAATAAAATGACAATTATTAATATAGTTAAATTATTAACTAAATTATATACTATTCTTGATGAGTTTACTCATCAGATATAAATCAAAGCTATTCTTATTTGTTTTTATATTTTATTTTATAGATGATTAAAAATAAAATACCCATTCATGATAGTTTTATTTATATAAGATAGAAAATTAAAGAAATCTTTACTGTTTTTTTGTTTTCAGAGTTTAGTATTAGATGATGAAGAAGATACAGTCAAAAAGAAAAAGAAAAAAAGGCATAGAATTCAATTTGTATAATTCAATAAGAAATTATATCTGAATTTTTTTATGTTCTTTAGAAAAAAAATGTATTGAAAGATATATTAGTACTAAAATTAATGTATGAAATGAAACAATATAAACGATCATTACTTAAATTAGGCAAACAACAAGATGTATGTTAAGAATTTTTCAGATATTTTCATTTTTGTCCCTTTTGTTTCCTATTGTAGAAACGTTTATTAAAAACATTTAAAATAAAACAAAAGATTGAATACCGGTATATCTTTGAAAGATGTACCCCTACAGCAAAAGATAAATGTAACAATTGAGTTACTTTTTTTTTTTTTTTTTACAGAAAAATATATTTACCAAGATTGTAACTATTCCGAGTATAGGAACAAGAATTCATTGTTATTGTTAGAAGTGTACAATAACCATTCGAATTAGAGATCGGGACGAAATTCTGATTGTTGATTACGTTAGCAATACAATTAGAGATAAAGGAAAAAATATAATTATTCATTAAATTGTAGGTAATGGCAATGAGAATTGAAGATAGAAATATAATAATTAATTAACTAGAATTACAGTTACGAGAAGAGATAATTATTAGTTATTTGGACCTAGACTTAAAAATTAAAATTTTTAATTATGTTTAAAAGTGAAAATTATTAAATATGTGCAATTGACTGTAGTTGAAATCAATGTTAGGCTTAAGATTGATGATGTTTCTGGAATCGTTAGAAAATCTTTTATCAACAATCAATAAAGATGTTTGTCTCCGCTTGATAGTAAACTATTCTATTAGTTAATCAAATGTTTCGCTAATGTAATGTAACGCTGGACAGCCGATCTTGTTTCTAATGTAGCACCTAATATTCTTCATCACGACTTTCGGATTGAACATACGAGATCTGAAATTTAGTATCTGCAGCAATTCTATCGGAATGCTTTACAACCTCATGTCGTTCTATTTTCGGTGCTTTTGAGGATGCATCATGTTTCTTTAGGCATCAGCAGATTTGTCTCGCTGTCTTACATACATTTGCAGTTGAACAAGCGATTCAGTTCAATTGGTGTATAACATTTGATTGAAGATCTTTTGTTGTTTCATCCTTGTTCTTGAGCGATTGACACAAAGCTAATAGTGGTCCGATCATCCCTATTACTTATGCTGTCGGTTTTACTTGTCTAGCTATTTATCTATATTTCTTTAATGAAATGTTTAGTTACTTGTTCCACAAATAGAGCATCGATAGTTATTCTATTGCATGCTTTTTTCATGATATCATTCTCTTGTTCTCTCAGTTGATTTTGATTATTATTTATCTTTTCTTTATTTGGTTTTTGAAGAAATATATTTCAGTGTATCTCTTGTTTAGTATTTCGCGAAATTCGATAGATTACCGTTTTGTTTCGTAATATTTCGTATAGGATCAAATTCATTTATGTACCAATATAAAAGACGCAGAAATACAGATGATATGATATACTATGGAACTTACTATAGATGCCTTTCAAGTTCCAATAACAAAATACGAGTATTTTGTTAGTATTCCCGTAAATGCTGATTTTCTCTATGCAGATCTTTGGAAAGATCTCCTATTACAAAATACAAGTACATCAAGAAATGGCAGTTCTTTATTTTGTTTCTCGGTCGAACTGAATTGTATATCCTAATGCAAACTATCTAGAACATTTCTTCTATAACCAATATTTGCATTTTTATCAAAAATAATGAATGTATCATCAGCATATCATTCTCAAGCAACTTTATGAATATTTCAGTTATCATTGGTGATAGTCATGATCTCATGATTACCCCATTATGTTGAAGATAATCTTTGTCATCAAAAAAGAAAAATATGTATCTCGTGTAGCTATTGAAAGCAATCCTTTCATATTACATCGATTTTGAAAGTTTTAAGCATCAGTTCGTTTTTTATTTTACAATTTCAGGACAGCTAAATTCTGGTCCAAACATGCTGTCAAGCCAAGCAGACTTTAAAACATGTACAATGAATGAGACGAGCGCTCGAAAATTTGAAACATATATTTTTTATTTGTTCTGTTTCGATTTCGATCCTTTTAGCAGTCACCAAATTTGGACCACTTGAAAACTATATCCTATCGAATATTGATTTTCGATTCCTCAAGTACTTATAGGTTCCTCGATAGCCATCAAAGTTTCAAGTACTCAAGAGAAGAAACGTATCGAAAGCATAATATTGAGTGCTCCAGTAGAAGCAAGTTAAGCGGGAATAACAGTTTCAAGGGATAAGGTTAAGTTTTATTTCGTGAAAATTATACAAAAAGTAAGTTACAAATGTCTCTTTTATTCAGCTACCTTAGTATAGTGATTTATGTTCGACATATATTTCCCTTAATGTCATCATTTTCTAAAAATGTATTCAACATGCACTGATGAAAAATAACAGGTCAGACCAAAATCCATATGCATTTCTGAGGAAAGACATAGCGATAACGAATTTTGCGTTGTCAATGTTTGAAAAATTTTTTTAATATTGATTTAATACTTTATCACACAAAACAGTTATTTACCAAATGCCATATTTATCAAATAAGCTCTTTACATGGTATCTGAGAATCTAAAAACAGCTTTTTCTATAGTTAGAGAAATGCATAAAGTATTTTTATTCGATTAAAAGGTTTGTTCTTAAGTTTCGAAAGCTGTTATCAAATGTTAGACTAACAATCTTGAAACTATTATTTTCCTAAGAACTAAAAAAGATAAATGTGATAGAAGAACAATAGTTCACATTTAGTTTAGATGTTCGATGAATGTTAATTGTAAGTGCCCATGTTCCGATCTCCTCATTGGTCTTTATTGGATAGGCATCGACAACTCGAGAATGAAGCATCTATAGGAAAAAACTATTTTATTTTGATTAAAGTTTTATTCTTTCGGTAAAAGTCATTCGATCAGTTGAAAACTCAGCCATTTACAGACCTATCGGAAAATGAGGATCTAAGAGGTATATTTAAAATTTCGATACCCATGGTAACCTTTAATCGATGCATCGAAATGCCTACCGGATGAATGGTTGAAAAGAATCATTCCAATAGTATATGATAAGAGAACTTTAGTAAATAAATTAGCAGCGTCAAAACAGACCATTCTATCTTCTATTGTATTTACTTGCAAGTTTCTAATAGACTTAATGACATGAAACATATTTTTCAGCATATGTTATATTGTGCTGCAATAGTTCTCATTCGGTCACTAAAATCTTAGCAAGTCAATCATTATAGGTATTGATTGCTGACATGACAGGTCTAAATGCGATACTTGTCTTATGCATCTTCAGTAGGCCTAAATTTCACAACATTGCGAGCTACATAAGCAAGCTGATTTATATTCACTTGCAGACAGAAAATCTCGATTTGCAATCCTTCAAAGTATATTTATCAAACAATTCTCCTTTTTATCGTTAGATTAAGATATTGTATTTCAAAAGCTGCTAAGCCATTCAATACTTCAAGAATTTCATCATCATATACTTGACGATTAAGAATGACAACTCTTTTACCCTTATCATGCATCTTGCTATATACGTCAATCTACTTTTTGAAAACTTCTTTCATACATTGAGAGTGACACTTTATTTGCTTTATTATATAATTTGAGTTATGTTGCACCGTTTTTCTTCAAACGATCAAACATCGATGTCAACTTCATAGCATATTCCAATTCTTTAGAGGTAAGATTACACATCGTATTTTCGTCCTGTTTTTTCTTTTCTCAATCATGTTTGTCTGTAAAACTCCAGGCAGTGACATTAAAAATGCAATAACAAATCGTTCTGATAAGAGTCACTATATTGTTATATTACTTTAAAATGCATGGATGCAATTGTGTTTATAGCTTTGATAGTGTGCATGTGGTCGCTAGCACGAGTGTGTGAGGCTGAATTCGTGTAGATACGGTGTGTGGCGTGTGCATAAAGAGAACAACCCCGGCCATCCTATTCTCGAAAATCAAGAAATTGGTAGTTCTTGAAGTAATAAATGTTGTAGAACAAAGAATTTTCTACACAATCAAACGTCGACGAGATTCGTACGAATTACTTTTCAAGTTTTATTACTTCTAGGAAAAGCTGTAAAGTTAGACGAACCATCTCATTTTCTTCACGACTTTTCGTAAAAAAAGTAATAATAAATCGAAGAACGCATCATACACATCTCGCCGATGTTTCATTCTGTAGAAAAATATTTACTTTAAACATATCTATATTGAACGAACTTGTATCACATTATTAATAACGAGGGTACTCTACAGGTAAAATTGGAAAAAGTTGAGAAATATTCGGCACATACCTATCAACTGCTAGCCTATCTTGAGAGGAGTCAATCTGTTACTAATCAACATCTGCAGCCAGGCCCACATCCTCAAATACATAAAGCACTTCAGCAGCGGTGGTGATTGATGTTAGATTTGTATCATAGTCATGGTCATTCATAAAGTCATGATACGATTAAATCATTTTTTTAAATAATTATCAAATCGGTTTTCATGACATTTGAAGTTGCTAAATGTATCGAACCACTAATTTGTGCCATTTTCTGTTGCGTACATGCTATTCAATGAATGGTGTCATTTTATGTTTCTGCATTCACTAGCAATGATGGCTTCAATTTTTCGTAACTATGTTTTAAACAATCACCACGTAAGCATACATGATCTTTAATGGTTGCCCCACTTGATATAGCATTTCCATCAACAGACATAAAACATCTTATATTGAAATTATTTACGGACGTTCGTACTTAAGTAAAGCAACACGCTTAAACGGATTTCTCTCTTGAGATTGATTAAAATTCAGGCCCTTTAGTCTGGTGAATTATGTTTAGATGAACGCATCAGATGTGAAAGTACCTATTTATAAACCATATTGAGTTTTTATGAGAACAATAAGTCAGTTTTTAACAATTATAAATATATAGAATATTCTTTAAAAAGTAAGACTACTTTTTTTCTTATAAGTGCGGTATTGTGCCATTTTCTATCATTTATTTGTTGAAATCGTTTATGTATTCATTTTTTCTCAAACTTTAAATTTGATTCTGATCTACTTGTAATGTAGCATAAATCATTATTCATACATTATCAAGAAACTCGTTATCCGTTGAGAATAAAGAGATGTTTGTTACATCACTTATACTCTTATTACATTAAGTGTCTATTGTTGATTTATTTGACCATCAAGTCTTCTCAGAGCTATTAGAATGATTGTAAACGCATCTTGTTATGAATAAGCATTCGAAGTTGTAAAGATCATATAATCAAAAACGCGTAAAAAAAACCAATCTAGGATAGGATATATCAAAGTTCAACGTAGTTAAAAAGAAAAATCAATTAAGGTTAACAGTAATACAATAGACAATTGACTATGTTTTTTTTCATCACCTCGCAAATGAATAATCATTGCTGACAGAATAGAGTTGGTTGAAAAAATAAGAATCAGTGTGCCTTCTCTTTTAACGATAGGATACCTTTATTCTTATCGTAATGATGAAGAAATCTTCATGTTTCTCTTTGTATCCACTAGTTTTAGTTAGACTAGACGAATAATTAGATTATTCATCAAAGTTGAGAATATCCATTTTATTTTTTCTTTCTTACTCTTGTACAGTTAGTTTTACACTAGTCGATAGTATCAACTGATTACGTGAGGTACTGACTTTTCGTGTAATGAATCGTAAGATACTTTAACATACATACTCAAGATAACGTTTTCCTATCAGAGAAGCAAAGAAAGATATGAATTTTATGATGAAGACATTGAAACAAAGAAGCGTTTTCATTACTTTTATTTGTCCAATATTAGATAACAGTGTTCTTTACCTAGTCAAGAGTCGTTATCTCTTTAAAGAATAGTTCAGTATCCTGACTACCTTGATTCTGAATAGCCTTGACACTGTCACATCGTCATTTTCCTAAACATATTTCAAGTTCACAAGCATTTGTTTTGATAACCGAATCGTTTATATGTATGTTGACATGTATCTTTTTCAATTTTTTCTCTCCAGTTCTACTTTGTTCACCTCCATTCTAATTATGTTACCTTTCTCATTCGTTTTGGGTGGACCGTCCACTCAATCATCTACTCTTTGTATGACAATGTCATTTTTCTCTTTAATTCGCAGTAGGAACTAACTCTTTCTTCGTAGTCTTTTCATTTTATTCACGCACAGCTTGACAGATTTTTTTTTTTGGTAATTTTTTGTATTTCTTCCAGTCCAGTTAATCAAGAATTAATATAGATGATGGGTCGACAACACAAATAAGTCACTGAATACAAGTCAGTCTTTCAATATTTAGTGCTTTCATCGAAATATTTTACTTCGAAATAGGTAACACAGATATATGTGAAGCAACTAAACGTTAACTTAGGATCAATCTTTTGGTTTTCTATTTATGGTCTAGAGCAAAATAGAATTTTCATCTTTTTAGTTTTTCTGTTCACATTAGCACAAACGAGAAGGAGACGAATAGCTATTTTTCATAATTTTTGGGCTCATTTGATTGTTTTTTTTTGTATGTTTCGCATAGTCAAAGGTGAATAGACATAGATGATATATATTTAAAAGTAAAATCGGATTTTTAGTTCGAAATTTATTCCACTCAACTGACATCTATATGAAGGAAATACGCTATTAGTAAAAATATTAAAATAATTTTGTCAAAGTTGTTTTTCACTCTTTTTCAGATATTATTAAGATGCGCTCTGACTTATTCTGATCATTCTTTTAGTGGGTACTTATACCAGTTGATAGAGAGTGTGAGTATGGATATTATTTGAACAACAACCTGTCCATATTCACAACCGTTCTATCTCTCATATTCTATATTCTTTATTTTAATGTTTCTACTAGTGTATAAGAGCACGTTTGTAAACCTCATTACACACGATCATGTGGTCATTAATGGATTGCATGATCGCATTATTGACGCATTTATTTTCTGGATACACCATAGTTGGCCATACGATACTGGTGGTTTTAAATTTAGAAAATTAATTTTTTTGTAGAACGTCAGAAATACGATATAGATTGATCAAGAATAGAAAGAGAGAAGCTAGGTCTTCGAATTTAATATGGAAGTTTGCGTGCAATATTTCTCTATGTAATGCAAATATCGAAACCAAAAGTTCATTTTACTGGCATGCACTTTTCATGTAATTTTTGGACGGATTTGCATAAATGACAGTAAAACTAGCAAATGAACTCTTTTGATATGTCTAAGGTTTTTAGTGTGGTATTGTGTCCCATTTTTCAAATCCAAATGGCCTGAAAAGGCCTGCGCATCACTCATCGGTCAACTGACAGATTATCAAAAAACACACCATCATTTACAACAGATCGATTGAAGTTCATTTTCATTTGAGCGATCGCAACCTAGGCTGAGCTGAAAAAACGCTCTATGGTAGTTGATTATTAGAAATTTAACACATGGATCTTAGCATTTTCATTGCTTCGATATCCGCCTATGTGCATGCTTTAATGGATAGCTACAACGAACGAGACGGATAAAACATTGGTCAATAAACAGTATAAATATATTTTATGGTGTAATTCGTTTCATTTGAAAGCAACCAGCATCAGAAAAGAAATAATAGCAAAGAAAGAGCTCGTATTGTATAGGTTCAGGAATAGATAAAGCTGTATGAACTAATTAGCTGTACCTAAATCTAACAAATAGTTCTATCTATTAACTGTTAGTCGTAGTCTATCTTTATGTTGTGCAAAAACTTTTTGTTTCGCTCGTCCTGGTTATTATTCTCAATCCTACTCTATTCCTCGATGATTGTCGGATCTTGTGAGAATAGACGAGTAGTCCTATGAATCGTACATTTCTACCTGTTTTGTATGTTAAATTTCTAATTATTATGTATTTAGAAAATCATTCGTTTATTCTAACACTATCCAAGAAAACGCCCAAGAAAATATTATATTTATCTTTTGTTGATCATGAAATAAGCCAACGATAGACCGTCTCAATGTGAAATTCCATTTGAATGATTACATCGTCTATCATTTATCGAGCGAAATAATTTAATTTGCTTTCGAAGATAGAATAAATGGTTGAATATTTATCTTCAGACTTTCCAATTTTACGAGAAGTTAACAACTCATCATCGTCATCTCCACAATATCTCCGTATTGGTGTTGTCCTGACTGCTGGCTTTTTTCTTTTTCTTCTTTATTTCTATGGCATTCTTTTTTCTCTTATTGTTTATATATATTTTGGTATTACTATTCTTGCTATTGTTGCTGCTATTCTAATGTTTGGCGCTGCTATTATTTATCCTCTACTTGTTGATATTTGTTACCATATTGTTGGTTTTCTTCGTGCAACCGGTTTGTTTTATTTATTTTTCCCGTAACCTTCTCTTTTATACCTAAGTCGCAACACACATCATAATTACTTACTTGTATCTATGTAGATGCTAAATGCAAAATCGACTTCTTCAAGTGTGGTACAAAATAATTTCGGAAGCATCTGGTTGTGATTTCATATGAAGTCGGTCTAGATACGTTCCATGTTGGAATCGTATTAGCACGCAGTTGACAATGTTGTTTGAACGCGTCTAAACTTGTTTCTTGTTCAAATCTTATCTGGATACAGTTGACAAATGATTATTTCAAAGCGCTGATAAAACAGAGTTCAGCGGAACAAAATGAATCTCACACGCGCAAAGTTTATTCTATACTGAAAGTATGCATTCCTTTAAGAATGTATTAATAAAGCGTTCGGTTTCGATTTTCTGTACATTGTCTGCTTGTTGTTTTCTATTTAAAGATCAAATTCGATAAGGCAGCATTTTTGGACTATCAAGTAATCATTTATCAAGCAAATTATCATTTTCAATTATTTGTCCATTCTGGTATTTAACACAAAGAATATTACATCTGTATATAAAAAAAACAGTTGTACAGCTTATTTTTCGATCGTTCCATTTTGAACAACTTTCTCTCAGTATTTTTATTCAGTACCCCTCAATTAATAAAACAAGTAAATATAAAAAACTAAAAGTGTATATTTTATTCGTGCATATTCATAATCAGTTTAAGAAACAACTTTTCTCTTAAGCGCACGAACAAGTTTTAAAACTTGTTTTTTGAACAATTTTTGCTGCTAACGGTGGTGCTGAACATTTGAAGTGTGTTGTACATGTTCTTCTTTCTTTTCCATGTTTGCCATATTCGTACTTTTGTACTTCAGAAATACCAAAGTACTGAGCAGTACGAAGAAGTATATAGAGGTATCTCCAATTACGGTGAAATATAAGTACACGCATGAGTTTAGAAGTTTCTTCATATTTCTTTATAATTTATGTACAACCCCAATATGTCGCATATCATAAGACAGTTAATAGTTGTATATGATTTAGCTATCCCATGACATTTCTGTAACAGCGAGAGTTAGAACCGACAGGATCCTTTCCTTAGCGGTACAGGTAGAAATGGGCAAACGAATATACTAGTAGGAATCATTCTTTATTTTCTGATCTTAGAACAACCAAGTCAGCGTATTGCTTAGTCATATCTGCATCCAAATGACTGCAGTAATCATATAACAGTCCTTTTTTCATGCTTTCTACTATTTATTTCCATAAGCTTTTTGTCTCTTGCTATCTATTGTGGAACAAAACTTGATAGGACTACAAATTCTATATCAGCTTCGCATATTTATTAGTGAGTCGTCAGATATAAGTGTTATTAGTTTATCGTATATTAAATTAATCCTTCCCTTCAATATTATATTCATTGTTATTTCGTATATTTGTGAAAAATATATAGGAGTTACAGTTAATCTACAATGTTAAACAATTATTCAATTTTCGTTTGATAGCGATAACTTGATTTGAAAATAGATTACCAAAACATGACAAGTATTCTATCACGTTTTTTTAACTAAATTGAATAGCCGGGTGTATATTTTCTCACATAAACTATCTGCAAAGTCAATAAAATGTCTTTCATCGACGAAAAAACACGTCTAAATTCAATTTTCGTGGAAAAACCATACAAAACTGAAAACAAAGATTAATAATGCTCGACAGAATAACAACCGTTCATCACGTAAAAATATCAATTAAGGGGTATAAATGTGTGGAAGAATGGGAGTTATTGTCAGCGTGACTCTCGTTGGATGATAGTGTGAAGTCAAGAAAAATTTTCACCTATACTTCATCGTATTCAAGTCTTTTTTTTAGACTAGAATAACAAGTTCATGAATTTACTTTTATCTGACTAGAATATTGCATATTGTCAGCACTAGTTAATACAAGACTTTATAGAATGAATGAATAACTTTAACCTATAAAAATTAATATTATCTAATTATCAACAAAGTAATTCGTCGACAATGTATCTTGAAACAGCTTGAAATTTTTATCACTTGTTTGTTGTCAACTATGAATATTATATAACTTTCTAATTCCTAACTTCATTTGATGGTTCTTCAATAAGTTCATGTAAACAGCTATTTATCCTTTTCTTCTCTACAAGAGATTCGGCATGAATAAAAACCATTAATATTAAACAGTTACCCTCAACTACTTTAAAGTTACAATTATTTTACCAATATTTGTACTTCATATTTTTCGATTACTTATCAAAGTTGTTTCATAAAAAAAGAAACAGTATTTTCTTGATAAAATTTTGATGACTTGTTAAGAAAAAAATTAATTTTTTTGAAGTCTGCTGTAAAACAATACACTCGGATGAAGCCACATTGTCCTTTAGAAAAGTAACTCGTAATGGAAACTATATACACATTAGATTGCTCATTTATAATTGCTTCTGTGTTTCACTGTAGATAAATATCAATTAACGACAAAATAATTACAAAACTCATATCTTAGTTCATATTATATGACTCTTCAAATACGATTATTTCTTTATTGCTGCATGAAGTACTGATTATCCTTATCAATATTTTTTTAATGCAATCGAGAATAAAATCTACAGTAGAAATTTGTTTTTTATGATAAAAATGCTCGATTATATACAGGGGCTTAAGTCACCTCTGAAGGCAGGGGGCGTACAGGGGTGTATACGAAGGAGGAGGGGGGAGGGGGCGCAGAGGGTATTTAACATAGAAAAGCGCCCAAAATGTGGGCCTGCGTAGTTAAATTTATAAAGTAAAAGGGGGGGGGGGGGGGCGTAACGTCCCACGCACCGCCCCCTATTTACGCCCGTAATTATATATGATGGCTAGGATTTAAAAGTGTGAAGTGTATTATCTATTGATTATATCAATAATAGTAACAATTTATGACGAATGAAATTGAACAGTTTATTCTAACACATCCAGGTCGAATATAATGACTCGTAGACGATCGTAAACAATATGAAAACAATGAAAAATGGCTAACACAAACAATAACATTTACAATACATAATAAAATGTCGAAATAATTCAATAAACGGAGGTCTTTTAAGGTAGCCATTAACACACTACAGAAAATGGCGGCCATTACAACTGTAATTTTGTTGTCATTATGACTTATGTTATTCGAATTCAATAGAAGTATGTTTATGTACTTACTTTTCAATTAGATTAGAAATGGGCTATTCATATTCATGTTTTATTCGATTTGAAGTCATTTATGAAGAACGGACGAACAGAACGAAAGAGGGTGTGGGTGCTATCTCAAAAAATGAATTCAAATTAAATCAACACTTGCCTTGCTATTCATCTATTTGAGACTATGGTGGTAATTAATTCATTACAAGTCTTTTATATAACGTCGGTGTGGGTGTGGGTGGGGGTGGGTGTGTAGGTGTGGGTGTGGGAGTGAGTGTACGTGTTGGTGAGGGTGTGGATGTGCGTGTGGGTGTCGGTGGGTGTGCGTGTGGGTGTGGGGTGCGGGTGTGGGTGTGGGGTGCGGGTGCGGGTGTGGGTGTAAATGTGCGTGTGGGTGTGGGGTGCGGGTGTGGATGTGGGTGTGGGTGTCGGCGGGGGTGCGTGTGGGTGTCGGCGGGGGTGCGTGTGGGTGTGGGCGTGATTGAAGAAATGCGCAACACACACACACCCATACCCCACACTCACACACACCCACACCCACACCCACACCCACACACCCCACACCCCCACCCCCGCACCCATACCCCACACTCACACACACCTACACCGACACCCACACACCCCACACCCCCCACACCCATACCCCACACACACACACACCCACACCCACACCCACACCCACACACCCATACCCATACCCCACACTCACACACACCCCACACCCATACCCCACACTCACACACCCACACCCACACTCACACACACCTACATCCACACCCACACACCCCACACCCCCACACCCATACCCCACACTCACACACCCACACCCACACACTCCACACCTCCACACCCATAACCCACACTTACACACACCCACACCCACACACCCCACACCCTCGAATAATATTATTCAGAAAGATAATACAATAATCTATCTGTAGGCATTTATTCATTATTGTTCAAAATAAGAAGCATTTTATGCATAATCATGTTCAAGAAAGACGCTTTAGATGATCAAAACACCAATAAACGAAAAGGAAGTAAATACAATTCTATCCTATCCAAGGAATGAAAACAAAAAATTTCATAACTTTCATGAATTTTGTATCGAAAAAATAGCGGAAAAAATAGCGTTTCCGAGTACGAAACGGACAAAAACATTGGTTTTTTTTCGTCTAAGTCATTTCGAAATCAAGCGAACGCCATGAAAATTAGGTTTAACGAGAATTATGATCGTGATTTCGGTTAAAAATAATTTTCATGGCGTTCATTTCATTTCAAAATGACTGGGACGAAGAAAACATCAATGTTTTTGTTCATTCTATCATTGTAATGCAATTTTTTTCATTTTTCAATGCCTAAGTAATATCCTGAATGATAGTTTCAGTTTTTGTATGTGTGCTCTTTGAAAAATGAGCACATTTTGTCCTGTGATATTCTTAAATAGAAATTCCAGAATACTTTTAAGCTTCTCTTCAACATCTTCCAACTCTTGTGTGTAAAATCATATTGGACACTCGAATAACTTCTGCAGAAAAATGTGATAATTTACACCTACGACGTCGAAATCTTCTCTTCGTTTGTATTTTATCCGCTGAAATGAAGGCAACAGTACATCTATTATATAAATCTTCAGAACTTAACGAATTATCTAGTTCTAATTATAGTTTTGAAGTTATTCTATTTGAAAAATGATTGCTTTCATATTACAAAAAAAAACAAGAAAATATCAAATAAGATGTTGCAGTGCTTGAACATCTTTTATGCTATGAAATCGTCAATAAATAGAGATTTTTCCAATATTATGACTAACCATCTAAATTGAGATAGTTTTCATGACAGGAAGATTTCGAAAGGTCACTTTTTTCAACTTCATTTTGTTTCTGTTACATAGTCTATTTATTTCAGATATTCTTCAATTTTTTCTAATATGTATACCTATTCAGCTGGATGTGATTAGTTTTTTCTTTTATGCATCCTCTTCTCATTTAACATGAAGTGATTTTTACCTCTGGTAAGTATAACTGTTTTATCTCATTCACTCACTCTTGTGATGTCCTTATCACTATAGTTACTATCTACTCAATTCCAATCGCTTGTTTATAGATATCATGGATCTTCATGTCATATAAAAAATCATTATTTTTCACAAATAAGAATCATTATGAATACTTTGATTAATATTTCAATGGTGCTATTATTTTATATGATCTATATAATATTTATTTACCAATTTGTTTTGAAATCTATGTAACATAATCCAGATTAGCTAATATCATTATCTTCAAAAGAGAATATTGTTATTTATATATATGATGCATTCAAACGAAATAAATGCTCATCAAATGAATTGTCGAAAAAATTTTTAAAAAACTTCTTTTTATTCAAAGTTTATAATTGTATCAATCTTTTTTATTCTTATTTATTTTATCCCAATTAGATGATACAATTTTACACTTTACAAAAAAATTAAACCAAACAAGAAAAAGACAAAATGAAAAAATAAAAAGCATAAACGTTTTATTTTAACATTAAAAAAATACATCTTCATCAATACCCTTCGTCACAACTGCAGTAAACATTATCTTCTGGAACTTTTTTCGATTCATCAATTATTGTAGCTGTACGAACAGCTTCTGCTTCACGATGTTCTGTAGGTGATCTACTATATTTTCGTAAATTAATAGGTGAAGAATTCATTTGGGGATAATCGTAAACTGATGATGCATTTGATAAACTGCGACACGACGAATACTTGAAGCATATGAACCACTTTCTACATTCTCCAATAGAAAGAGTAACATATTGGAATTTTATATAATCAATACTTACTTCATTACTTTTCAAACAATTATCTGTTGAAGATGTATTTGATCAACTTCGACGCCCACGAATATTAGAACCATATCAGGGGTCTTAAAGGGCTGGGTTGGGCCTATGAAAGTCAACCCATGGGCTATCGAACTGTAATCGGCCCACCCATGGTTTTCTCCCAAAAAATCGGCCCAGCCCATGGGTACCCATGGGCCACGTATGTTGTGGGTGTGGGTGTGGGTGTGAATGTAGGTGTGGGTGTGGGTGTGAATGTAGGTGTGGGTGGGGGTGGGGGGAGGGTGTGGGTGTGCGTGAGGATGTCGATATTGTCTTCACTAACATCCATGCCTGCATCAACACCCACACGCTCACACGCTGACACCCACACCCACATCCTTCCACCCACACCCTCACACCCACGCCCACACCCCACACCCACCCCCACCCACACCCTCTCATTTTGAACAACCTTGTACGTCGATGGTTGTTGTTTTAATAGAAATTTAATTCAATCAGTTGTATACTGTTGCATACGTGATGACGAATTGGCAGCATTCGATGAATCACGCGTAATAATGGATATTGATGATTGAGAAGAATTTGCAGGTGCAGAAGCACTATGACAATTTAAAGAAGTAATTCGTGATGATGATGACATTGTTGATATATGAGAAGAACTCGACGATGACATGTTGTTACTACAAGAAAAGTTTTTAAAAATGATAAACAATTGTCTTATCTTATTCTTTTGTTTTACATATTCACTCATCGTTGATTGCGTAAATATTGTAGCAAATAAAAGCATTAAATTCGATTTATCAAAAAAACAATTGCAGTGATAATATGCGACATCTTTTAAAAATTTTTATTTCTTATTTAAAATATGGCCCATGGGCACCCATCAAAAAATCGGACTACCCAGCCCAGCTCATGATTTTCTGTTAGAAAAATTTCGGCCCATGGGCTGGCTCGGTTGGACCAAGCCCAGCCCATGGTTTTCTGTTAAAAAAATTCGGCCCATGGGCTGGGCTGGGCTGGGCTTGGCCCAGCCCATTAGGACCCATGAACCATATTAAAGATTTTCTAAACTCTACAAGAGAAATATTGAAAAAAATTAAATTTTATATGATGAATATTTACTATGTCAAATTTTAAACTATTCTCATTTGGTGGGCTTCGATGTCGATGAATATGATTAGAACCATATAAACGATTTTCAACGTTCTACAAGAGAAATATTAAAAAAATTAAATTTTATATGATGAATATTTACTTTGTCAAATTTTAAACGATTATTATTTGATCAACTTCGACGCCCGCGAATATTAGAACCATATAAAAGATTTTCTAAATTCTACAAGAGAAATATTGAAAAAAATTAAATTTTTTGTATGATGAATATTTACTTTGTCAAATTTTAAACGATTATCATTTGATGGGCTTCGTCGTCGATGAATATGATTAGAACCATATAAACGATTTTCTAAATTCTGCAAGAGAAATATTAAAAAAAATTACATTTTATATGAATATTTACTTTATTAACCTCCTGCATACCGACAATTCTTGCGTTCTTTACGATCTAATAAAAAAATCGAAAAGTCACTCTCTCTTACGTTCAATCGTCGTGAATCAGCTGCGTACGTATATATTTTATTGCACATGACATGTGGATTGATACAGCCGTATTACTGAACATTTCGCTTTACAGCTGTTTATCGATGCGACAGAACGAAAAAATTCTTGTGTTCTGCTTGTTTTCAGCCTGAAGACGGCGGTATCCAAAAGGTTAAATTTTAAACTATTTTCATTTGATGGGCTTCGACGTCGACGAATATGAATAGAACCGTATAATTGATTTTCAACGTTCTACAAAAGAAATATTAAAAAAAACTACATTATATGTGAATATTTACTTTATTAAATTTTAAATTATTAGCATTTGATGGACTTCGACGTCGACGAATATGATTAGAACCATACGAACGATTACCCACATTCTGAAATAGAAACATGACAAAAAGAAATATTCTACGTGATCAACACTTGTTTTATTAATTTTTAAAGCATTATCTAATGAAGACCTGTTTGATGAACTTACATACCGATGAATATTGTTAGAACCATGTGAGCGACTTATTACATTCTGCAACAAAAACATTAAAAAAATTGAATTGTATGTAATCAATACTTGCTTTATTAACTTTTAAACTGTTATCATTTGATGAATACCGATAAGAACGAATATTCGTTGAAGCATGTGAACGATTTATTGCAGTCTGGAACAGAAACATTAAAAAAGAATTTTTATATGCCCAATACTTGCTTTATTGAGTTGTAAACTGTTATCTGATGAAGACCCATTTAATAAACGTCGACCCGAATGAATACAAGAAGAACCATATGCAGGATTTTGTACATTCTGAAATATAAATAGAAAGTAATATGAATTTTACATACTTAACAAGGTAGCGAAAATGCAAAATTTCAGTGATTTTTTTTTCTTCCATTAATATATTGTTCGATAGAGTGAGAAAAGCTGATCACGAATAGGGGTGTGAATGTGGGTGTGGGTGTGGGTGTGGGTGTGAGTGTGGGTGTGGGTGTGGGTGGGTGTGAGTGCCCCAGGTGATTCGATCCGACTGTCGGATTACGTCGGATTATATCGGATTATATCGGAAAAATTACCGGATTTTAACGGATCCGACGGGAACTCGTCGGAAGTTGTCGGCGTCCTAGCCACAGGATTCCGACAGGAGGTTCCGGATGTCGGAATAATCAGGATCCTGCGAAATCCCTGAAACTCCGACACTTTCCGACATCCAGAACCACTTGTCGGAATCCTGTGGTTAGGATTCCGACAAATTCCGGCGAATTTCTATCGGATTCGACAGGGTGAATTCGACCTGGGTGTGAATGTGGGTGTGGGTGTAAGGGAAAAAGACGACACCTAGACACCCGCACCCACTCACACCCACACCCTCGTAATGAATATTTTTTATTACACAAATAATATAAAAGAAAGGAAGGGTGAATGGTTTATTTCTTCTCATTTCGGTTTTGCAATCTAAGAAATATACTCTTTCGGGCATTACACTCACTGTTTTATTTTCTTTCTATTCAGTCATACAATACATCAGCCAGATTAGTAAGGTAAGATTAAGGTTTACCTAGCTAAGCATTGAAGCAGCATTACAATATTATTTTTCTTTCTAAGCATGTATCAACACAGAAAATGTAAAACTCTGATGTATTATGCATTCAGTAATTTTGACAAACATTCATTGAACGTCCTGCAGTATTTAACTGTCAATTTTTTGGTTCAGAAAAATTTCGAAAATTTTCGGAAGAGACTGGAAGACTGCACAGTTACTGATATTTGATCCTTATAACTGTTTTTTTGGTGTCAGTTCTATCCGTTCGATTTGAACATCGAATCTCATGTTTTCTTTCAGTAATATTTGAGCGCTGAAGCATAAATACAGAAACTAAGTATTCGGTACTTTTGGCGAAGAACATTTAATTACACCTTGTTCCGGATCCATTAAAGCTACAACAACTTCTTACAGATTTTCCTTTTTCTTGAATTTTTTTGTATTAGCTAACGATGAAAATTAAGTACTCGAGCAAGTTCTTCCACTGCCGCTGTCAACCTTATTCTAGATGAGTCTTGTTCATGCTCCGAAAGATTTGTTACTTCTCATGTACAATTGAGAGCGCACACCATACAGCTCCAACCACTCACACTTTAAAGAGTTTCATATTGTATGAAAAAGGAAAAATTGTTTCAACACTCTAGGAAAAGAGTTTATTATCCCATTTGCACAGATAATAAAGCTATGTTTTCATCGAAAGCGCTGATCATTCCGATATTTGTCGAGCATCTCACAACCGAAACAGCTAAGAACAATTTCGTTCTGTTGCTTTTGTTTAATTGATTAGTGTGATACGAACTCTTTGAAATGTAAGTGATCATATTTTATGTATTATTTGGTGCGTGTGGGTATAATGTTAGTATGGGTGTGCATCTATGTGGGTGTAAATGTATATAGGGTGACGAAAAAGTTCTCGAAACATTTTGATTTTTATTAAATAAATAGTAATTCTGATCCGCTATTTGCATTAAATTTTCAAGGTACTCGCCCTGATTTATCACACGAAATCTCATGCAATCAACTAAATTGTTACGTATCTTTTGAAATCGAAAATATGAGAGTGTATATGTGAGAGATGACGCCCTCACACCGAAATTACCGTAGCGAATCTTTTATTCGACTAGCATCATGGAACATATTTTCAATTCAGCTGATGATTCAGATTAATGAACAAGGACTGAATGTTTTATTTACAAAAGAAAAATCAAAGTTATCGATAATTTCGAAATTTTATCGTTTTGTTTAAAGAAGTGTTTTAGCTGAACATAGCTATAATTATTCTGGATTGAGCATTGTTCTATATGTATGAAAGAAATTCGTCAGTTCTTCGCTGAGCTTGCTACATTCAATTATGAATGAATCAGATATTGTTCCAGATTGATAATTGAGAGATAAGGTACCTTTCACTTTTTCTTTGCAAGGTTTTCCTTCGGCTTTTGCACTCTGATATGCAGTTATGAGCTTTGTCCATTCGCTTGATTCAAGGTTTTTGAAAACAGGTGTTCCACCACTATATTCTCTGCTGTAGCTGTTTCTAAGACCGAAAGGCTTGTATTGAAATGTAACTAAATTATCAGTTGTTTTGGCAAATATCAATTCATTATTGTATCCATCCAACACAGTTAGTTTCTCAACGACATTCGTTTCCAATGATCCAGTTGATTTATCAGGCTTTAAACACATCGAAATATTATTATTCGACATAATGAACTGATCTAGATGAAAGTAAATGAAAACAGTATCTTATTTAAAGATGTTTAGTGACGAGAATGTATGAAAGCAATAACCACGAGTAAATCAAAACAAAAATACAGCGCACGTTGATGTGCTTAATTATTCATCATAACCACCTCAATCGGAAAGCGATAAAATGAAAGAACAGAACAAAATAAAAAAGTTTTTTCTTACGTTGACAGCCATCATGCATCATGTATCAAAAAAAACAGTCACTTTCTCAGCATGAGGTCATTACTCATGTTCGTAAGCAAATGCGAAATATAGTTTCAAGCTCTGGCGAATGCTTTACTGCAACATCGTCCCTTTCTAACTTTTTCACAAAATTCATATGAGTAATGCCATGGGATCTCAGACGGTTAATACACAAAGTTCTCTCAGTCAACACATATGATTTGCTTCCTCGACTGGTGAAAGGGTTATATGAAATAAAATGAGTTTGTATGCTTGAAATCACATGTTTAGTCATGGCCACACACACTTGCTACTTATCTACTCCTTACAAAAGTTTAACCGAACGTTTCAAAAGATGGGCCGTCAAATTCTCTACAAAACTGGAAGAACAAGGTCCTTTCTGTGCCAATAGGCATATTATCTTATATGATATCTTCTCTTCCTCAATGTGTTCTGGTACAATCAATGATACTTAGTGTTCATAATTGTGTTACTCTTACATTCATCTATGCTTGATTGAACCTCGTTGTCTTTCTGTCGTAGTGCGCTTTCCATTCAATCTTATGTTATAAATATTGTTTTCATCTATGTGTTCTTACGCTATTTTTCTTGGATATCTATTCTCTCATTAGTCTTATGATTTTTCTTTTCATCCTTTCTTATTCTAGTCATGTATATAAACGGTACAATTGTATGGTATGAAGAAATGTGCCGAGAAGCATGTCATCTCTTCCGATGACGCCAATCATTATTACGTCATACGATGCTAACAATCACATCTTCTCGATGTCATTATATCAATAGAATTTACATAAAAAGAAGATAGACGTCCTTTCAACAACTTTTGACTAATAATGTAATGAGTACTATTCTGTTATATTCTTCCTCTTTCCCTTCTCTCTTTTGTATTGTACCATCTATTCTCTCTTCTCCTCTATCTTCCTCCTATATAAGCTCATGTTATGCATCAGATTGTTACATTTGGATGTAGTGCACAGTCGAATAAACATTATGCCCATAATAGAATCTAAGACATTAATGTGTCTCTCCACTTGTCAGTAATAGAAATATATTTGTATATTTTTTGTTACACTTTCGACTTGTGTTGATGTTCCTTTCTAAACTCAGAAGTGAAGTCTTACGTGATAGTAAAATGTCTCACACCTATAAGAATGACAAATATATTGTTGCATCTCAAGAGAGGTTGTTGATTTTTATTCGAGATGAAGGTTATGATCGTATGGCGGATGTAAATGGAAATTCCGTGATTCATCTATGCCGATTCATAAGTTAAACAGACCATCTCACGAGTGTCCTTGTCACCCTTACAATCGTGGAACATTCCGCTATCACGTAAGACTTTGGTTTTTAAGTTTAGAAAAGAACATCAACATGAATCAAAAGGACCTTGCTCTTCCAGTTTTGTAGATCATTTTATGGCGCATCTTTTATAAAATATTCATGGTTTTATGTTTTAATCGTTCCAGGATATCTACAAAATAAGCAATGTTCCGATGATTTTGAAATATCCAGTGGCGCATCCAAGAATCTTTAAGTTATGAGCCGTACCCCAGCTAAATTATTTTTAGGAATGGATAGCAATAGGTAATTAAAAATCAATTAGGTTACAATTTTCTAAACTTGAGGCTGTGGTTGTGAGTATTACATCACTCTATTGATATCCACACCCATACTCACACTTTCATATAAAAATACAGAAATATCATGTTGGAATCTAACCACCTAACATCAATATCAACGATTAATAAAGAAAACTGTATTTAATGCTCACAATTGATTAACAGATATTTCAATATTGAGAGTACATGAATTAAAATTAAAATATGCTTACACACCGATAAAGGTCTACTAAAGTTTATAAAATGTTTTCCTTTTTATACGATGAATATTGAACATGAATTGAACTATGCCTTTCTTTATGAATATATTATAAACAACAATTCTGATCACAAATGAAATATGATTGAAATCTAGATATTCGGATGTTTTATACCTTTTCTTATCTCAAAAAGTACTAAATAGTTATATCTATATGCATTCTGACTTACGTATATTTATCTAAGAAAAGTTAAATCAAATTGTTCGAATGCGTTTTTTCAAATGACAAATTTAATTGACTCTTCTTGATATTATTTGAACACGTTTGTGTTTATGCTACTGAATTCTTACACTGTTAAAAAAAAGGCTAAGCGATAATACAGATCATTAGCTAGGTTGCAAGTACAAACTTGTCATTATAATTGTTGTTTCCTAGTTCTCTCTCCCAAGGTTTGAATTCAAACGATGCTATTGAATTGAACCTAGATTTTCAGAACAGTCAACGTTACTTGACAGCAGATAATAAGATTCACATTTTATCTAACAGTTCAGTGCCTGACATTCAGTCTTCGCGTTACTGTTAGTAAATATTGACCACAGGACTATAATCATGATCATGATAAAAAATATGATCGATGCGAATTACTCAAAATTATTTTAGATAAAATCCGTAAACACGGATACGACGGGTCAATACCCATACCTTCGTGTGAAAGCGCCATATATAGAAATAGTCCTTAACATTTTCGCAGGCGTGAGTTTTTTTCAAGAACTTCACAATAAGTATACTAAATAATAACAATAGAAACCACTGTAACCCATTCCCACTTCCACGTCCACATCACTAACAACATCATCGATCGTCATTAACTATCAACATTCGATTATTCAACAAGATTCTTCGGGTATAATGTTTTATTACAATAGACAAAATAAAAGCAAATCAAACACCGGTATATCAAGCACAAACAAAAATTCTTGAATAATTGAAGAAGATAATTCATTTAAAGTAAGAGCTAAGCCTTTCTTTTGACTCCCAAAAAAGAATTTTGATGAATAAAGATTCTTGATGAATAAAAATTCGCGGATGAGGGCCTGCAGCTCATTATTTCTTGACCACACGTCGACTCTGCTTCGAAGTTGTCTAGAGATAAGAAAAGTTAATTACTGATTTTCAATTTGGTCTACAAAATCCACTTACGACTCGTGATTTCTTTTGTTGATCGATTCTTTTATTCTTCCAAGGACTTCGCTTCCGTTTTGAAACACCATAAGAGTCCAGAATATCTCTCAAGCTGCCCATTTCCTTGGCTAAAATAAATTATATAACACTTATTCTTGTTCAATTATTGATTGACGAAAGTTAAAATTTACGTTCGTATTCTTGAATTAGCTCTGTATTGCAATAAAGATCAGTGCAATATGCCATATTCTTTTCATCGATAAGAACTAACTGAAAAGCAAACATTGATGATCGTAGATGATATTCATCTATCTTCTTTTTTGCTCCGTTTGTTCCTATTGGATGCCGATCTAAATGAGACTCAAAGATTTAGTATGATCAGTACTCTACGAAAACTTTTTTATTACCAGTAGATGTCAATTGTGTTTGTGAATAAATGGCTAATGTTTTCATGTTTGCTAAAGCATGTTGTTTAAGACGAAGCATGGCAAGATATTGGATCCTTAACAACCGAAGAATATCTGTATTTAAGAAGAAAATCGAAACAATTCAACCTACTCGATGAAACCATTTGCCATATCTTCTTCGGTGGCTGGAATATACAATGAGCCATCATGAACTTTGGCGTAATCATTATCAATCCATATTGGATATGGATGAACCAAAATGAGGGCATTTGCGCCGTGTTGTCGTGTAATACGAGTGATGCGCAACCAGACAGTGACGCCTGATGGTATAATTGAACGTAAATCAGGGATCTAAATAAGCTCATTAAAAAAATTTCTAGATGAATACTTTTGAGAAGAACAGACGCTCACGATGAGTGTTAGAATTCCATCCCAAGGTACAAAGATGTGTCTATTACCCTTTGAACCTTCTTCTTCATATCGAGCACGCTGATATGGACATAGAGCAACTGATATGGTCATCGGTTTTACATTTGATATCGATACTAACTGGCCACTTTCTTGAAAGGTGGGTGTCCTTGGAGTATCCTATTCCAATAGAATGCAAATGAAACGTGTATATGATAATTAATCATTACTATTGAAAACCTACTGATGACTTTACTAATTTGGTAAATTTATTCTTAACAGTAGGATTTTTCTGGACTTCTGTCGCCCCTACTGAAATATTGTTTATAGCAAGACTAGAATTTATTGGATTAATTTCGTCTGTTTGCTTCATAGCTAATTGCTGCTCTAGTAGTAACTTATGTGAATTTTCATAAAGTACTGAAAGAAAAGGAATATTAGTAATGAAAGAAATAAATTGTTCACTTATACAAACCATCATTTTCGGTCGTGGGAGGTTCTCCGATCTTGAACACTTCGTGCTCATTGTGACTATAATTTTCTTCTATATGAACAAGAAAATACAAATAAAAATGGAGATTAAAGAAAATTTTGTGCAACATTTACCATGTTGATCGCTATCTTTGAACAGATCGTCCCAATCAAGGCTAACTGAGTTTTCTGAATTATTCAGTGGAATCGAATTGGCTGAATTACTACTCGTTGGAAATGACGATTTTAACTCAATATTTTGCAGCTCTTCTTCTAGCCAGCTAAATACGGCTTCTTCTTCCATCATAGTATTTTTGGAAAGCTCACTAGAAGAGCTTATTGAATCGGGATCTTCCAATGTGATTGTCAAAAATGCATTTTCTATATCGGCCTTTGGATTCGGACCTTCAAAGAAACTCGGCTTGATTAAGTACGTTTCTATGTCTATTCCATGAAAATTTGCTACATTTTGCATTGACATTAATTTGGCTAAGTCGACCTTTCCAGTTTCTATACAGAAAATTAGGATAAATCAATTTAAAATAGAGTAAAATAACTACAATGGCAAACCTTCACTGCCTGATTCTGATGATAAAAAGAAGCCAAATTCTTCCATAAGAAGTATCTATGTTCTGTGAATTTTTTTCGCTACGATCAATATATTCGTACCAGTACAAAAATGAATGTCTACAAAAAAAATCAGATATTAAATATTTTGATCAACTGGAATGTTTCACTTGGAGAAATAAAAAAAAGCTTCTTCGCCGACAAACAACAAGCTTACAGTGCAGTGAAAAAAAAAAGAAATGACGATAACTGAAAAGCAAAAAGAATCGTGCAACATTCAGATGGTTTTTTCCAACTTGCAGTTGTTCTCTTTTCTCTATGCAAACAAAAGTATGACTCATATTACTTTTTCATCGCTTTCTTCGCCTGAAAGAAACATAAAATTTCTCTCGTTTTTAATGTCAACTGTTGTTACATATAATGTGAATTACTTTTACTTAATAATAATATGTCAAATACCCAACACCGCAAAATTTGTAAAATGATCCAGCTTTACAGATACTCACACGTCGCACATTCATGCACACATACACTCAGTGATGTCTTCTTTATAAGAATCATAAAAAGCAAAAATTGTCAGCAAACACTAATACCTGAATTCGTTCTTTCGACCATTCGTTCACCAAAAACTACCCAGTGAATGGTGTAATCTACGTATTTTTATATGATAAAAATTAGTTTTGAAATTATATTTATCTTGATAAGATCTTTTCACATGATAAAGTATGATAAAACAAGTAGAAATGTATGAGAACAAGAGAAACATTCGGGAAAACTGCTCCTTAATGATGAGTAAGCTTATAAATATAACTAAGACAAAGTGCTAAATTGAAATAAAAATAATTCGATTGAACAATGCAAAATAAAACTTTTTTCATAGCAAGATCTTTATTTCGTACTGACAATTAACATTGAAACCATTCAAAAGACAGAATTGCGTTGTTCGTTTATTTTTTAAATATAACTAATACTATCTGAAATCGAATTTTCTCTTCATCTCATATCCCGCTTGATGGACGTCTTGCTAGATCAATAGCATGATTTGCTCATCATTAGTTTTAAATGGAACTGAATCCTTCGAGAATTAGTTACTTAGTATATTACCTTTAATTCGTGCAAATTGAATATAGGTGTCTGAAGATAAGTTTTTGTAATGAAAATTCCGATCAGTAGAATGGATCATCTTTGAAAATATTCGTTGTTTGGATAAATGATATTCACTATATGAAAATCCATTGTCAGTACATTCTTGCTGATCCTATTCGTTTTTACTATTTTCAAGAATATGAAATACCATCAAAGATTTTCAAATTTATCAAACAAAAATTAAACAATGTCGTAATGATTAAATCATTAGCTTATCGAACGGTAGAGACGAGAAAAGTCCAAAATATTTTTATTTTAAGATTGATCAAAATTTACTCCTTCTTTGTTAGCAGCGAGAGAAAAAGAAACGAAATTCATAGTGGTCCAGCCATTACAAGTGAAACTTTGTTTTGATGTTATGCCTTCAGTGATAAAATTATTCTTTATTTATAACTATCGATGTTCTTGATACGTATTGTATTAAGTGTCTTATATTTGTATCGGATATGCATTTATTAACTTGTTAATCATTAAAACAAATGTTAATAGAAAAAAAGGAACCGATTACTAATTTAGTAATAAAAATCATATAATTTTATCTTTTATCTAATATCTAATATCTTCATCTAATTTATAATACTAATAAAAATAATTAAATAACAAAAGTCTTGTATATGAAAGTCGTTGAGAATAGTTATCATTTGTTTTATGCATGGTGATGGTTGTAGATACTGATATATGTAAAGCTTGGTCCATCATGATCATAAAATTATCCTCACAAAATGACGAGGGCGTATAAGAACGCGAATCGCCCCATCTTCGAATTTTTAAAGGAGATATATGAACATATATCTCCTTTAAAAATTCGAAGATGGGGTGATTCGCGTTCTTATACGCTCCCGTTCTTTTTCATCTTTGTGAGTATTTATTCTGGACTCAAGATTCATCCCCCTTGCCTGAAAATATTAGCCATCAGACTTATCACTAGCATGTAATAAATAAAAGTATTTTTTCTTGAAGACATCTCGAAATGGCTAGTTTACAGCTCAAAAAAATCCACCACGACTGACCATTCAGCTAATGCAAAACATCTCTCTTTTATTTCTAAACCCATACACTAATAAGCTAGCAGAATACAGCGCTCAGAAAAATTGTTTATAGTTTCATTTGGTTTCATGTTTTTTTTTCTATTTATTTTTGTTCGACTCCCATGATTCGCTGAATTCCATCGTGTATATCTTGTGGTGATTTAACAAGAATAATTTTTGATTTTGGTGCTAATTCATGTATTATATTTAGAACACGATTGAACCAAAAGAGTATTTCGAGTCGATCGCTTGGCACATTTTTATCATTAAATTGAACAGTTTGATCATATCCGTTGACATAACCGCCTACAATGAAAGCGAAACAGGTTAATTAGATCCTCAAAATAAAGAGTAGTCAAAAGAACTAAACATACCAATTGATATTGCATCCCATTGCCTTTCTTTGAGTGCAGTGATTAATTCCTGATCACTTTCCTTTGTATTGTAAACGCCAAGTAGTTTTGAATTTTTATATCCCAATGCAATCAAAGATTTTTGTGCCTCCGCAGCCATTTTTTTAGTTGCGCCAATAGCCAAAATTTTTGTTTCGTACAAAGCCGCTGTAGATGATACTGTTCTGTTCACTATTAATATTGGTATTGAGAGACGCTATCGTAGAGAAAAAAATGATTTCAAAGCTCATGGATGGTGCCGAGTGAATTTTACCTTATTAACCAAAAGAACACTACTTCTGATAAAATTCTGCATCATATTTATTGTTTTGGTTTCAAGCGGATTGAGAAAGGGTGTATTTTTTTGAGTTTGAGTACGTACAACAACAAGCGACGAAAAGAATAAAAACTTGTCATTTTTGTTCGTTATACTTCGTTCGATATTCTTTTCGATAGTAGATTTTTTTTTCTTTTTACCCATAACTACGCTTTTTACACGGTACTAATACTTATTGCCATCAAAATATCATTTTTTTTCTTTTCTTTCTTCATCAACTTGTTATTTAATACATTTCTCCTTCCTTCATCGTGCAAATAACATTCGTCGCTTTGATTTGTTTGGCTCTTGTCTGAATTCGATTTAGTCATCACCTATCATTCTTCTAACGTTTCTATTTCGAGCAGTATCCTTGCGCATGAATTCTCCATCTTGTTGATGAAAAAAAGGATGTGATTGTAGAAAAATATCTTCGTCCTTAGTCTCTTTCTGAAAAAAGCTTTTGTCACATCATGAGAGATAATATTTGTGTAGGAAGATCGTGATTTCTGATTTTCACGAGTATTATTGAGCGTGAATCAAAGTATGAAGCTTGTATTTACTAATCAGGCTTTTAACGGAGCGCATACGTTGAAGGTTTAGCGTCTTAGATGATATGAGTACAGCGTCATGTAATCATTCATTTTGTTATTTCAAACAATATACTGGACTGCCCTATGTCATATGAAATAAAATCAATAGCACCTAAGGATGTAGGTGCTCATCTTTTTATCTATACTCACATTCTCATATTCCAGATTAAAACCTCAGGCAAAATTATCCACCTCGAATTTGTCGAGCGCGAGTATCATAGAAAAGAATGCTGCGAATATTTTGGGTGTGGGGTGTGGCTGTGGGTGGGCTGTGGGTGTGGGTGTGGGTGTGGGGTGTGGCTGTGGGTGTGGCTGTGGCTGTGGCTGCGGATGTGGCTGCTGATGTGGGTGTGGGTGTGAGTGTGGGTGTGGGTGCGGGCGTGGGTGTGGGTGTGGGTGTGGGTGTGGGTGTTGGGTGTGGGTGTGGGGTGTGGGTGTGGGTGTGGGTGTGGGGTGTGGGTGTGGGTGTGGGTGGGTGTGGGTGTCTAGGTGTCGTCTTTTTCCCTTACACCCACACCCACACCCACACACACAGCCACACCCCACACCCACACCCACACCCATAGCCACACCCCACACCCACATCCACACCCATACCCACACCCACACCCACACCCACACCCCGCACCCACACCCACACCGACATCCATACCCACACCCCACACCCACGCTCACCCCCGCAGCCTCATGTTTACATGGATAAGCCCGAAAAGAAAGAATGTAACGATCAAAATTAATTCGAGTTGAAGCTTATTAAGTTACACTCAGAGAAGACTTCTAAATGATTTTAGGTTGACTATGAAATATTCAATCTGTATGTAAATAAATTGCTCTTTGTTAAGAAAAAACAATCAATCACATACTACATACGAGCATTGGAAACCTGTATGGCGTAATATAAAACATAATTGTTTTCTGCTTGTAAAAAAGTATCACAAGGAAGAAAAAAATCACAGTCGTTCACATTTTGCAATTCTGTGCAACTAATAATCAAAACTATATGATCGTATGTTACCTTTGTCACAAATTATTTTCAAGGATTCGTTTTGTATGTAGAGAGTTGATGCTGATGATGTATCCGTCTCGCACAAGCAAAGAAGAACATGGACATCGATCAATGGTGTCGAAAAGAACTTCAGTCCAACCGAAGCGTTCAACGCAGCGATTAACACACTCAACAGGTAATATAAAACTAGGCCATCAATACCATCACCAATCCTTCAGAAGCCAAGTAAGTTTTTCAGTATTTCTCTTAATAATTTCATAGATTCTTCTACTTAATTAGGTGCATCCACTGCCAACAAGAGAAGATCAGAAGTGGCACGCCAGTCATATGATTGTTCAATCAGAAATCACGTTTCGTTCATCTGCTGAAAATAGGAATATCGATATTGGCTATCAAATACCGTTGGCTAGTCCTATGAATATGAAATATCTTGGCCCATATTTCGAGGTTGTAATACTTTACTAAAGATTATTTTACCATTAATTAATCGAAACAGGAAATAGGTTGTGCTGAGCTATTAAAAAATGCGCGATCTTTATTCAGAGTTGTTCATATACAGTTGATGATTTTGATTAGTTTTTCGCATAAAATATAAACCTTTAACTTGTTCTCTTGTGCTAATAATAAAATTTGATTTCATATTTAAATTCAGCGTCAAAATTTATCCAAGACAGAATATTTCAAATATCTTTAAAGGTATCAAAACATGAATTACAATAGTTATTTTTCGACCAGATATATTTTAACCAAGACTTTACCAATCTTTACTGAATACAGAAGAAAAATCACACTCCTATATTTCTGAAGTACAGAAGTCTGCTTTTCATCCATTAACTAAGGATTTAATTATACATCTTAGAAGCAAGATAATCATTTATTATTTTATGTATGAATGTTCTAGATTTTTTCATTGTTTCATATCTAGAAAATGCATTGAATCCAAGATACCTGTGTAATGAGGCAGCTTCCATAAGAGTATCCGAAAAATGATACCTTGCTCTCAGTATGTCACAGGAACTTGGTTGGATCCTTCGCTGTAATTTGTCTGAGTACCTAGAAATAATCAGATACTTGACTTGATGCTTATTTATTTTCTGTAACATCATATAAACAATGTTTTGATATGCTAGTAGATTGAAGGCGTAAAAGCATTGCTAAGTTAGGAGTGAAGAACTCGAAAAGAACCCTAAGGTATTGAAATTTTCAAAGGTTCCTAAGACGTACTGATAACAGGATTACGGTCTAAAATATCCCTAAAACTGTCCTTTTAAAAAATGTTCCCAGTTTTTCGTCCTTCGAAAAAATGTTCTCCAATACGGGCCTATGAAAAAAAGTCCCCTTCTAAAATATCCTCTGTCAACATATTCTTGAAAAATCATTTCTTACTATAAAAATGTTCCTTACTTTAAAGATTTTATTCTTGAACAGTGTGCTACTCTAACATAGAGGGTAGGTGCAGGTGTAGTGAAGATCAAAATCCAAAATCACAGCCGACACCTTACCCTACACCCACACGTACTTACACTCACACTCATACACTTGATTTAAAATACGCTTAATCGAAAAATATAGAAACAAATAGTGATTTATTAACTCAAGTCGAACAGAAACAAATTCTGTTCATTATATGGTTATTCCAATTAATAATGAAGTGCAACCTCGTACTAAACAACCTGAGTCTAAAATTCCTGAGCATCGTATAAGAGAATTATATGGACGATTCACTAACCAGCAAATTACGTCACAAGAATTATTAAAAGAATTTTGTCTTTTTATCGCGAATGAAAAGTAGATAAGATTCTATTTATTTTTTAAATTTACATTACATGATTAAGCTTATCATCAACCTCAACTTAAGTTTTAACATGTGGACATTTTTTCAGAGGATAATATTACCAAGGACCATTTTTTCAGGGATTCTTTTTTTACAGAGAACATTATTTCTGAAAGCCGTTTTTGCAAGGTTCAAATTTTGGGGACGTTTTAGACTGTCACTAACAACAGGGCATCTTTTTTCGGGTGCCGGGAATTCAGTACTTTTACAAGGGATAACTTAGTTTTTCAGTAAGATTTTTCATACAAGATGTTCATCTAGGTTGAGAGCCGGCGTATACATCTAACGTCACTGAATATTCATACTAACACCCAATTTAATTCAGTTTGGTTAGAAAAAGTTCACAAACGATTTTTTCCTGCAAAAAAATTTCAAAAAGACTATTAATAGGAGAGAATTGGATTCCAATGCACGGTTGCATTACCCATAAAAGTATAAGACTAAGCTCTATCTGTATTTTTCAATAGAATCATTGGAAACAGAAGAAGACGACCAGTCCGTGGTTAGACCGAGTAAATATTAGAGCAATACCTTCTCGAAAAACAACGAAGAACAAAGCAAAAAGGTAAGTGTTTTGATCTTATTATTTAATGTACATTAATGAACATGTAGTGCAGACATCGCAATGGCTTTTATTTTTGTCGGTGTTGCTCACCCTTATGCGTCTTTATGTCTTTATTTGCTGGGATTCTTTTAGCCACTGGCATCGTTGCTATTATGCTCACATTCATAAAGACTACGCCTACTAGTAAGTATTTATTTCTCATTCAATCGAAGGCTGACTATCTATTGAAAAAAGATATATAAAATCTTAAGGATCTGCAAAATACCGTGGCACATCGTTTGTGTTTAACGTTTATTGAGAAAGTTTATATTTTCCCATCGAGAAGTCCTAATGAAGAATTTAAATAAAAACTGTTGTGCCCAGATATGACAACAAAAATTATGGTGCTGTGTGTCTCCCATATAAATAGTTTTGCATTTTATAGTGAAGTTCTATCTATAAAAATAAAAATATGGTTTTCTATAAATAATCGCTGAAGTTGAAATAAGGCTTGCGATGGCCTAGCAATTTTATTATAAGCTAGCAGTCGGTTTATTAGGCATACATTTGTGGTAATCTTGTGGATAAATCAGAATGCGGAGTATTATATTATTCTGTACATAGGCGGATCAAAAAATAATTTCATACGAATCTATTATTCAGAAATGATATATTCGTATTAAAAGCTGGTGGACTCAATGTTTCAACTTTGAATAGCATAGTTTCATTTTGACGAATAGTATTACATTTTTCAATAAAAATGTTTCGCTTTTACATTTTCGAAAATCAAATTTCTATTCAATTATTTTGTACAGTTGTATAGAATAAATTATGGTTCCAAATACTGAGAAATTTCTTCTTTTCTAACTAAAGAGACAGGTTTCTAAATTGGTATTGGTTTTACGATGTTAGCATACTTATAAGCTAATCAACCACAATATGGTACTATGAAATTTACCATACTGTATCTACCACTATCTACTAACACTCAGGATAGAGAAAATCTTAAATGACCCGCTTAGACTCTTCCCTCGAATCATCTTGAAGTATTTACTAACATATACTCTTTATTTAAAATTCCCTTCAAATAGAGAGTACTCAGCCATGAAAGCTTGGTCACATTCTATCATGCATCAAAAAAAGCTTTCAATGTTTCTTGAGATAATCAATATTCAAAATTTGTAGAAATAAATCGGATTATTACTACAGTCGATAAAAATGCGTAGTTTTGCCAGAAATGGTGTTGAAGCCTTCATTAAATACAACAGAATGGGGTTAGATGTTCATATGTTGTTATCGTAGTTTTGACGGTGTTTATCAACGACCGCTGTCAAACAGTATTATGAGAGTTTATTAAAGTTTATTGAAAGATATTAGTGTTTTTGCAAATTCACTGATCCTTACACTTAAATTCTGTTAAACCGATGTTGGTTATCATCCAATACAAAAATTTGTGCTATAGAATGTAATAGTGTATTTATTCTAATGGAAACAATTAATATAATCTTCCAATATGTCGTGATTGTTCAATATTTCTTTCCTTATATAGAAAATGGTTTTAAACCTTTAATTATAAGCGCAATTTGATGAAATATAAGACTTAAGAGGTGAACTTATCCTGTCTATCTATTTTTTGTAATGATGTATTACAATTTGTATCTCATTGGAGAAATACAAGCTACTTATAACATTCATTGTTACTGAAGAGTCCATCGTTCATATGTAGCCAAGATTTCGCTAATCTAACATTCGGACGATTGATCTATTTGATTCTTACTTCAGAAAAACTATGCTTATGAACAACATTCTGAGCAGAAAAAGTAAGAAAAATTGCCGCAGGTACCTCAAATGTTTTCGAGGTTTCTTTGATGAAATTGAACTCTTTAGATAATTATCAGCGAAATATTTTCTACAAAGAAGACCTGCAAAAAGAACAAAAATTTATCTAAAGTATCATCCGATTGAGTCATTCATTTTATAATACAATGCATATACATTTCAGTTGCAAAAGTAATCACCATGAATTAAGAAATGGATCGCATTTGAAGATAGAACTCATTGAAGTCTCCTATCGCAAAGATCATTTTATTAGGGTTTGAGTTTCAGCATGATATTTACTAAAATCTCCTTCTGCATATTGATTAATTAGAGAAAAAGGAAAGATCGATGGCTCAAAAAATATTATCAACATAACAAAATGTTCGCATTTTTGTATTATTTCTGAAGAGGCACATGATGCAAGTCTTTCAGACTGCGTTACAGCTTCAATTCTCTAAAACTCAGATTCTTATGTTAAACAAATAGCATTATTGCTTTGGTACAGGTCAATATCGATAAGAACATCGAATCTACTGATTTTACATATTTCCGTCATATTATTGTTTTCAGCTGAATACAAGCATATTTTATTTACATAAACGTCTTTGCTTTTAAAGCAACCACAACAACAACTACGACTACTACAACTACGATTACTACAACTACGATTACCACAACTACGACAACGTCAACAACCATGACAACAGATACAACGACAACCACGACTACTACAACTACGATTACCACAACTACGACGACGTCAACAACCACGACTACCACAACTATGACAATGACAACTACGACAACGTCGATAACTACAACAACAACGACCTCGACAGCCAGTACCACAACCACGACAACTCCAATTTGTATTGATTTTTGCTCATCATCTGTCTATAATCAATAATAACTGTCCCCTTTTTTGCAACAGGTATCAATCCATTGACAATTCCAGCATGTGCTACTTGGAATCAAACAGGAATCACAGTAGCCGGTCATCAGGGTGGAGCAACTGGTAGTAATTTGGCATCACTCAATTATCCAATAGACATTTTCATTGATGCCAACGATACATTGTTTATTGCCGACGGAAATAACAATCGAATTGTCAAATACTATTTTAATGAAACCACTGGAGTTCTTGTGGCTGGTAATATTGTTGCTGGAAGTAGTGCCGTTCTTTTGGATCAGCCAAAAGGCATTGCTGTTGATGACATGGGTAACGTTTTCGTTGGTGATACTGCAAATTATCGAATTCAAAAATTTTCTCCTAATTCAACAGTAATTCTCTGACCCATTCTAATTTCTATTTTCCAAATGATATCTTTATAGGCAGCTACCACAATAGCTATCAATAGTATGACGAGTCGCCTTGGTTTGACGCGTGATTTGCATATTGATTGTTTCAACAACATTTATGTGACCGATTCGGATTATAATCGAGTTGCCAAATATAATCCTACTAATGGTAACCGTGTGATTGTAGCAGGTAACAATGGGGCAGGAGGGGCAGCTAATCAGTTCTCAGCTCCATACGGAAGTTTCATCGATGCAAATCAAACACTCTATGTTGCTGACTACGGGAACGAACGTGTTCAAATGTGGGCTTCTGGAGCAACGAGCGGAGTCACTGTAGCCGGTATCACAGGAACAGCTGGTGCATCTATGAAGCGTTTGAACGGTCCTATAGCATTAATGGTTGATACCAATGGGTAGGTTACTAAGAGAGTAGAATGGAACTATTTTTCAGAAATATTGTTGAACTGAGACATATTGTGGAAAAGTTGACTTGAAAAAGACGATCGAATATTTGAGCAATGTTTCATGTGCAATATTGTCCTGCACATAAAATGTATTGTAGTTTGCAAGATCATAAGTGATCACAATATCTTTAATGTTGATCTTTTCATTTTCATTTTTCTGCAAACAGAAAGTGTCAATATTTTTCTACTTGATAGCTTGCATTAGTAGAAACTGTTTTCCGATCGATTCAATGGATGAAGTTTATCTAATGATATGACAACGCAGGAGTCTGATTTCAGTCGCTTGACTTAAACAATGGAGTCTACGTAGTTGCTATATTAGTTAAAGATCGTGGGAACAATCTTTCATCAGGATCTGGTTTCAATCTCAGACGGCTTCTAATTTGGTTTTAAAACTTTAAAAATTCATTAGAAACGCATTGAAATCCTTCTCCATTGCAAATACCATTTAAACTTAAAAACGTTCTGTAGTAACCGTTTCTCCAATGCATTTTCATCTGTCAAATATCATAGGAAGAGAAGA